TTCACATGTGGGGTGAATTGTAAGAGGAGTGGAGAGGAGAGGAGAGGAGAGGCAGGGAGGCAGGAGAAGAGAGAAAGAAAGGAGACAAACGATCCTTAGTGTATTTATTCATTTAAAATGAATATTTTTACTTGACTGGGTGGAGATAGAGACAGACAGAGAGAAAGAGAGACTTAAAAACCTGTAGGAAGGTGCTACATGTGTTCATTTGCAAATTTCATTTACAGACTAGCTCTTGGAGAACTTATGAAGTCCTTCATGTTACAGGATACCTGAGCTCCTCAGGAGCAGCACCGTGTACATCACCCACGCACAAGGGCTGCACAGCATCTGTGTGGGTTATCAGTGTGTGGTAGTTACTGTGGCTGTGCAAGTGCGGGGACAGGCTGATGCCCCCGCTGCCTTAACCGCTGGGCCCAGCTCCACAGGGCTGGTGGAGGTGACCTCTGCTGTCCCATGGTGGCCCGGTGGAGGTGACTGCTCCTGTCCCACAGATTCAGTTGGATTTAGCACAGCGAAAGCCATAATTTTTCCCAGGGTGGGCCAGATTTATGTTTAGCCTTACATGGAGAAAACTCCTAGAATAAACATGGTGAGCTCATGTTGGCCTGTGCAAGTTGCTTGCCGGTAGCCCGAGCCCCAGGATTTGGCACATGTAGCAGCTAGGCAGAGGGCCACTGCTGTCACCCGGCGCCTGAAGGCTGTGAAGTTGAAGCAGCCTGGAGCAGCCTGTGCTGCCGACTGACCACGGATCGCTGGTAGCTCCCGGGCCCTGGCTTCCTATAAGTCTCCACTCCGTCCTGCCTACAGCGGCGTTTTTTTCCTATCGTGTAGAGTTACACACTTCACTTTTTGCCTTTTGCTATATTTAGTACAGAGATGGCCCAACCCTTTTTTTTTTTTTAAAAAAAAAAAAAAAGATTTTTGCAGAAAATGCCAACATTTGAATACTGGGTTTGTTTCAAAATGTTTGAAACAGATGTGTTTCTATTAGAAATATATGCATTTATTTCTGCAAGCAGTATTAAATGAGTGGTTACCTATATGTTAGCCATCAGAAACACAATTTTACTAAAAAATACACATTTAATAGCATTTTGATTGCTTTGAAAAAATGGAAAAAGGCACATTTTTTCCCCAATATTAGCTTTTCAAAGCCTTTTTTTTTTTTTCCATGGGGAAAAATGTTATGTTAAAAAAATGAGGATTAGTATTAACTTTGCACTAAGCAGCCACAGAACGTAAATTTTGCCACCCCCCGCTTTGGGGTTTTAAAGTCTCTCTCTCTCTCTCTCTGGCTTTTCTATATTTACATTTAGTGCTCTAGAGCTAAGTGCATTCCTTTGCCTGCCCTCGCTCTGCAGCCCTGGTGAGACAGGACCGAATTCACAGCCCTTGGATGGTGGCGTCTCTCCTACATCACAGAACATTTCTGCTCAGCAGCCTGTTTCATTTCAGTGAAGGTGGCTTGTGCCTTTTCTTTGATGGCATCCATGTCCATATTCTGGATGTTCTGCAGCTGCCCTAGGATAGAGTCCTTGTCCTCCTCCTCCACCTGATCTTCTGCCACCATCTTCTGAAGGTCTTCTGGTAAACCCACGTCATCTCCAGCCATCTGTATTTGATTCTCGTCCAGTTCACTCTGATATAAAAAGCAGAAAATAAAAACAGCACATGAGAGTATTTCTGCTATCCCAGGATCTACCAATGAGTCTCTTTTTTTTGGTTTGTTTGTTTTAGGGAGAACCAAAACATATGCACAGAGTTTTCAGTCAGAGTTTTTAGCTGTAACTCGGGAGTTCAGGGGCTCCATCAGCCCCCCACCAGTGCTAAGATTTTTCAGACCATGTCAACTCCATCTCTGTGGAGGGTTTCAGCAGTGTCAAAACTGAAGCCCTCTACGTCACTTGCCATTTCCAAAGTCATTGCTGTGTGTTAGCTCTGGTAACATGCTGATACCATGGGAAATCCACTACAAGTTATTTGTGCTCACCACAGGCGTGCTGCTGTACACGGTTCGGTCCATGGAGCAACAGCTTCAGAAAAACTCTGTGGGTACCACTCCCCTGTTCTCTTGGGGGGGGTATATTTATGTATCAGCACTAAACTGAAGCCTTCCTGAAGAAAGATGCATTAAGCCTAGGAAAGAATTACTGGGAAAAAGGTCCTTATCTTCTCCAAATCCCATCTAAACCATATCTAGGTCTTTGGTTGGCGTCTCTGAGTTGTGATGGCACATCATGAGAGCAGTGCTGGTGAGTGGGGTAATGGGAGGACTTGGACAACAGCAGAGAAAGGGAAGGAGACAGGAGAAGGAACTGGTTAAGGAGCTGAAGAGCTGAGACACAGTGAGCAACGCTCCATCAGTAGGGCTACCTCAGTTTTTCAAACAAAGGCGATTTTGTTCACATTTTCTGGTGGATTCTGATGGATCCAGAGCTCAGAGGAACAGGATATTTTGACACAGTTCACACATCAAAGATAAGCATTAATGCCTCGTTACTCCTCCAAAATGAAGGATGACAGCAGCAAAGGCCTGGTAGGAATAAGCAGCAACGCTGTCAGCGGGAGGCATTTTGGAGAGTGAGGGGGGTCTGGCATTTGCATGAATGAATGAATGCAGGAATGAATGGGAGGAGGTCCACCAGCAATGCCCATGGTTCCGGGCCTTTGCAGGGACGGGTGGACTGGGATGCATGGCTGCAAAGCCGCTGGTTACCCTCACGTGCACTTGCACAGTTTGCAGTAACAGCATCCAAGTACACAGCAAGCCTGTGGCTCCCAACGCTCACTTCAGGGTGGGACTTCAGCCAGATCCTGTGGGTGACCTTCAGCCAAACCATGTCCCAGAGCGTGAGCAGGGCCCACTGTCCCACCACGTGCACCCCTGGGTGCTGGTACCTGCCCAAAGTCAAACACGACTCTGACAGTGACAGTCACTGCCCGGCCTCAGAATACACCCAGCTTGGGCTCGGAGACCACCCAAAATAGAGCTCAGGGACAGGACAGACAGGGCCATGGGCCCTCACAAACCCATGCAGAAAGCCCCTGGGGACCCTGCACTGCACATCTCTCCTGATAGCTTCAATCTCCATAGTCCCCAGGTCTCTGCAAGTGTTCAGCTGCCCTTTTAGGATCTCTGAGAACACAGAAGCAACCTCTATTCTAGTAAATTAAATATGCCTGGCACTGGTCTCTTGCCCCAAGGCCAGCTGGCTGGGAGCAGCCCACTGCCATGCTATTGAAGTCTCTCGTCCTGCCAACAGGGTGGTCCCGTCCCGCTGCCGGTGGGAATGCCCGTCCCACCTCCCACACCGGCCCCGGGAACTGCCTGGGAGGGAGCCCAGGCCAAAACTGGGTCAGACACTGCTCTGACGGCTCAGAGTCCTGCTGCCTGGCCATGGTCTGTGGCCCTCATCACGCACCCATCACTGAGGCAGCCAGACTCAGACCCATTTTGTTAAAGGTGCGACACAACACAGAGTTCTTTATCCATAGGTGACACCCAGGTGTAAGCAGAAAACAGACAGCCTAGACATGGGTTCACACGGTCTGACTGTGAACAAGCAATGAAAGCTCAGGGACTAATCCACAGGGCAGCCAAACTGCTTTCCAGCATCACTGTCTGGCCTCCTGCTTCCCTTGTGCCTGACTGACCCCGTCGGAGAATCTCCCCATGCCTGTGCGCAGGGACCCCCAGGCAGGTGAATCCTGGGGTCCATCACCTATAGCGTACTAGTTACACACAAAAATCAGAGTTCATCTCACCTCGACCCACAAGCGGGGCTTTGGCAAGCCACACACCAGCCCCATGCTGGCCTACGCCACCTGAGGGCTGCAGGTACCCCACGAGTAGGTACGAGGAGCCCCAGGCTGGGAACACCAGCCTTGTCCCCACAAACACCCCCTTGTGCCATCCCCGCACAGGGAGCACAGGGAAGGTGTGGGGAGGCTGCTTGGCCCCACAGGCACTGCCATGTCACTGTCCATATGGGCTCCAAGGAGAGCCCCATTGTCCCCGGGGTGCAGAAACCCCACGCCAGGCCAGGCCCTGCCCACAGCTCTGCCTGTGCCCGGCGGGTCCTCCATGCTGGCCTGTGCTTTGCTCCCCTGAGGACTACAGTGTCACTGGGCCCCATTGCCAGCCCACTCCAGAGCCTGCAGGACCTGCCTGTGGGCGACGATGCTGCTGGTGTCCCCCTTAGCCAGGACCTTCTTAGGGACCAGTCCTGATCCCGCTGCCTCCTGACAGCCACACCGTGACTCCATTTTTCCACAGGGGATCCCCATCTGTTTCACCACAGCCCATTAAGAAAACATTTAGATCAGCAAAAGGATTCTTCTAGCTTAGTAGATCCTTGTTTTCCAACACTTACGGAGAGCCTGTAAGCACTGAAGAGCTTCTCTTTGTGACACATTTCTCTTCCTGCCTGGTCAATACCCATCCCCGTGTAAGGGCTGCATACAAGTAAAAAAATCCCTTAATTCTGGAACAGCACTATTCATTAAATCAAGTCTTTACAATATTCCCATCACAGCACAATAGAGCAAGAGCTGTTTGAGATGACATGACTACTTGTCCCTTTCAAGGCGAGAAGCTTTCCTTTTCAACGCCTAAAGCAGCACTTGTTATTGAAAAGACACCTGATTGCATCTGAATACTCTTTCCCTCTAGATATCAGCCAAGGAAACACACCCTGCTGTTGGGTAACAGACTCTGGCAGAGCAGTGCCTGCAGAAGAAGGGACCCACCTGCCTGGAGCAGATGACACAGCCCCTTCCGGACATGCCAGAAATTCATGTATAGTGCTGCAACACACCCCAGCTCTCAGACAGAAGAAGGGTGCTGATGTGGCAATACCCTGAGAGAGCAGTGGCATTTGAGGTGATATGGTGGGTGTATGTGATGTGGAAGGGGTGGTGGGGCCCGTGGGTAGAGGTGGCTGCATTGTAGATGAGGTCTTGGGACAGGGCGGACGGGTCTGTGGTGAGATGTTCCTCTCCAGCATCACAGGCACCATCACCTCAAGCCCTTGCATTTAGACCTTCCTGAAATTAATTGATTACTGGATCCCAATTCAGGAAAAAGGCAGGAAGTGAATAGAAGAGTTTGGTGGGGGGGATTTTTTATTAAAATATTTAAGTAGTTATATAATTTTTTAAAAGTGTGTTGCATAGAGGTGATGCATTGAATACTCCAAAGATGAAAAAGTTGTCCCTAGATCAAATGTCTCATGGCTAAAAACATCTTTCTGATGACAAACCCAAGTTGACAATTCTGTTAATAGGATTAGGTTCATTAGGGAACTGCTTTCTCCTATAAATCTGGCCCTGATAGCGCAAAGCTTTAGATTTTCCACTGAAAAGGGGGCCCTGCTTAGTCCTGAATTTCATGCTTTCATTTACGATGTGTGCTGGTGATTGATACTGGTAATATTCAGGGTTTCTATCCCATACTAGACTACCTGAAGTGGCTTTCATTCTTCTAAATAATTAATGCATCATTAATAGCAGCATTTTGCTGCCATAATGTTTTATCAGAATTAATATTTTTTTTCAGGGACATACAGTGTGCACATAATAATTGCATTTTCTTCCTGATATACCATATGTTTTGATAAGAGCCGATGAAAAGAAAGGAGACCTTCACCCAAGAGATGCTACGAAGGTAGACAGAAGTCCAGAAAAGCACATTCTGCAAGAATCACTTGCAACCGCTGCAAATCAGCAAAGCTAAGTATATGCTTATTATCTTCTTTGCTGGCTTAGAGCTCCTCTCCTCCCTTGGAGACAAGCCCCAAAGAGCATGTAGCACGTACCAAAGTCAACATGCCGCTGGTAATGGGGCACGTCACACTCTGGGTGCCCCTTTTTGGTGGCTGGGGAGACCAGAACACCGTCTCGGAACTGGAAACAGTTCAACATCACAGAGAAACGCCCAGCTCCACTGGCTGTTAGTTGAGAGCCAGGCACATGAGTGTCCCCAAGCCTCTGAAACTGGCCCTTCTGGGGGTCTGAAGGTGGGGTCTGGCAGAGTGTGCTGAGGCCGTGGGGAAATGCTGTTCAGGAGCTGGCTTAGCACATACCTCCAAAAAGAAAACAAAGCCTAATGATATTTTACTACTCAGCTGCTAATTAAAATGCTGGTGTTTAGAGATTTAGGCTTACAATCCAATCAACCACTCAAAATCTCGTACTTCATTTTTTTTTTTTTGCATAATTAATCTTTCTGTAATTAAACTTGCCCTCAGGATATGCCTTCCTCTTTCTTGTCACTGTGCTGAGCACCCATGACCCAGAACCAACGGTGTGTTGCAACCAATGGAGGCAGAGGAGCACAGTGGACAACCTGCCCTTACTGCTTCCCATGCCACCGGGAGGGCATGGCAGAGCTGGAGGAGCTTGGCACCTCCGGTCCATCCCCAGGAGCAGGAGGCTCTGCCCCGTTTGCAGCAGAAATGTGGATCTGGTCACACCTGGAAGTGCTGGACCACACAGCACTGGCATGGGCGATTCTAGAGAGGGACCTGCAGCCATCAGAGAACACCTCTGGGGGGTGAAAGAGAGATCAAAGTCCAAGTCCAAGGATGTGTGTGACCTTGATAACCATCTGCGAAAGACTCACAGGTTAATACTATTCCATTTAATGGGGTAATTTGAATGAGAAGCTCTAGGTGTAGCAATAGCGCCTTCATTTTTGAAGATGACAAACTGTCAAATAACTTTAAATGTCAGACGTCCTCACAGAGAGTTTGATGCTCTGAAACAAGTTGTTACAGGGAACTGCATTCCCTTCAATTGGCTCTGTTCAGGGCTGGTGCATTGGGAGGGCAAGTAGAGGTAGATTAACTGAGGTTTCTCCACAGCACTTTTTCCCCTGCTCCCTCCCCCAGTACCTCTCTCAAAACATTCTGCCTTACTTTTTTGAGACAGCACTTCTCGTCCTTGGGAAGTCAGTTAGCAAGGTTTCAGTTGCAAGACGCATGTTTTTAAAGTTAGAGAAAATCCATTTTTCGTGCCTGATTATGAGTGAGTCCTGCCAGAATGGTTCAATACAAAGGGTATAATTTTATCTCAGTCACAAGGTTGATTCACTTTTCATCCAAATTGTAGTTTGCCTTCGGGGCCCAAGCAAATGATTAAGAGTGGTGCAATTTTATGAGCACGGCACTAGAGGGCCTTTGATGGCGCACAGTTAGAAACAGCAAGACTAGTTTAATTACACTGATATAATGATCAGACTTCTGTCTGCCTGAGCTCACTCCCACAGGGGCATAAAGGCTCTTAATTTCCTTGAAGCCCTTTGGAGCCCAGCACCTGAACACCTTTGCAGTTGTGTGCCACAGAGCACACAGAGCCTTTAGTTAAACGCATCTCAGTTCAACCTGTTTGGAAATCGGGTGACATGAAAAAGGCCACCAAAAAACCAAGAAGTCCACATCTTCATGCACCTGAGGAACCAGCAGCCCCCAGCTCTGCTGGCTGCAGGAGGCGCAACAAGAAAGACACAGGTTGGAGGGTGGTCACGCAGAGGGAAAGGTGACCAGGGAGCTCCAGGGAACAACTGTTAACTTCAGGGGGCATTTGCTGAAATGACACTTTCAGTAAGACACTGAAGTCATATTTGACGTAACTACGTGAAGGATATCTTAATGAAGCTGGAAAAATAAATCTCTTTAGAAATCTTCTATAAGCAATGAAGGAGTGACCAGGTTAAGAGCAGTTTAACAGCACATGAACCACCACCCTTCTAAGATTAGTTATTCCTGGGAGAACTCATGTGACCTTTTAACATTCTACAAATAAGGAGTCTACGCAAACCAGAGACTCCAAAGGCTCTCCAGAAATAAGCTTTGTTCATTGCCTATGTGGACTCCAGTTCAGGGATGGAGGGAACTCAGGTTTGAGCAGGGGGAAGGCTCTCTAAACTGCTGCATGTTGCTAAGTTAAGAACTTATGCTAACTGTGAGACACGATCAGAGCAGACACTCAGTGCTGGGTCACCTGTTTCAGATCTGGCAGCACTGAGAGGGATTACAAGAATCTTTCCGTTCGATTCACCTACTGAGCAGAGGAAAAAGGGCCCAAAAGCAACAGTCACCAGGGAAAACCATGGCTCCAGCCTCCTCCATTTCTGTAGCGAGCTGCCGAGGCAATCCCGCTAAGGAAGGCGATTTGCCGTGTTCAGAACTGTGCACCGGCAGACAGATTGGTTCAAAATTGGCCCTCGAATGAGACAAGATCATGAACTGCAGGCTTACCTTAGGGAGTCTGTACTTTTCTCTCAGGTGAACCCTCAGACAGGCTCGCTCCGCTTTTTTCTGTGCAAATGCCGCATCCCTTTCCATCCTGGAAAATCAGAAAAAACCTTTCTTCAAGATACTAATAAAATAAATTTTTTGACAGTTGCTTGGCTCAAAAGGGTGCAGGCAGGAGTTATTCCCAAAGCTGTGTGAGTTGTCCAAAGGCACAAAAGGAGCGCTACCAATAAAGGGATGGTATATTGGGGATTTTTAAAGAAATTGCTTTTATTTGTGTATCAGTGCAGGGACTTCCTGTACCCCAAGCTCATTGTCAGAGCAGTTCCCTCAAGTCCTGTGCAGAATGAAGGATAAGCAAATACTACTTGTCTGGGGTTTGTACCCAAACCAGCTGTTATTGGTCACTAGAGCAACGAACAATTCCAGGCACCAGAACAAAAAAAGTTACATGTATTCCTTGCTTATTCCACTGGGGCACTTTGAGAGACGTGGCTGCGCCTGTTCCACAAAGGTGACACGCTCACAGTATCAAACACACACACACACGGTGGCAGAATGGTCTTTCTGGGTCAGACCAAGAGTTTCCCTGCCCTGGAGTCCCATTGCCAACAGCAGAAAGTAGGGAACACTCAGAGAAAGAACTGAGGAAGAGGATAAACATCCTTATCAAAACTGCCCAGCTTCCAAGAACCAGCGGTGGAGGGCACTGGTGCTGAAAATTGGCTCTACATTGTTAGCTTTAATAGCCCTGATGGCCTTTGCCATCTATGAATTTTCCAGGTCTTTTCTACACCCATGTGTTGTTTCAGAACATCCTACGGCAATAAATTCCATGGCTTCCCCGTGTAGAAAACGACCTCTTGTATCTGTGATTTTGTAAAAGGCGTTCATTAGATTTAGGAACTCTTCAGCACAAATTTTGGTAAGATTGCTTACATGTTCACAAAATGTTTCTCCTCAAAGATTTTTGGTAACTCCCCCCATTCTCTTTTAATTTTTTCTTCCCAGAAACATTTTCATGGCAAAAATTGATTTGTTCCAGAATAGCTATTTTGTCACATAAAAACTACTTGCAAGATGAAACATTATTTTTCCCCTGCTTCAACAAATGAGGTTTGGGTTGTTTTTTTTAAAACAAACAAACAAACAAAAAACAAAATCAAAAGAAGGTCACCTTAACTGGAAGCCCTCTTAAACTTCTTTCAGTCAGTCATTGACGGGAATATTGGAAAGAGACTTTTTTTGAGCCTTTCTGGCATATTTTGCCCCTCTTTCTCAACCTCCCCCTCCTGTCGCCCACTCCTCCTCCACAGGAGCCGCTGGCAGCTGCAGCTGGTGCTGGGGTCTGTCACTACATGTCCCTTTGGGTGTCCCGGGGGGCTGAGGGGCAGGATCTGGGGATTTTCTGCTCAGGGAGATGCAGCTGAAATGGGTGAAAGTTGGAAAATGGGTGAGAGGTGGCTGAAAAATCCAGACAGTCTCCTGAAAGAGACACCCTGCCAGTGAGAAAGGTTCAGACACATTCACACAACCGGTCTCTGCAGAAAAGCTTCAAGTGTTCCTATTTCAATTCCAAACCCTACTTCCAGAAGCACTCCTGCACCCATTCCTCAGTACAGCTCAGCGTGCAACGGACACGTGCCATGCTTGGAAACATTATCGAAATAATCCTTTTTCCAAGTATTTTTTCCCCTGTCCCAGGAATCCTGTTTTGCTTCTCAGTCTCAGTGAAGCACCTTCCTGCCGGCTGGTGGTTATTTCTGCTTTACATAGCCCTTGACAAAACGCACAGCACAACACCCTGCGTTCTGTTCCAAGCCAAGCGATACCTATTCAAGGTTTTACCATAGAAATGGCTGCTGCTAAACACAGACCTGGATACCTCAAATTCCGTCAGTCATTAACCTTTCACCTATAATCATCTTACACCAAGGATTTACACAACCATTATGTAATTGACCATTAGAGGAACAGATGCATTTGAGATTTAAAAGTCAATTGTTTTATTTATAATTATGCATGATTTGAACTCCTACATGTTAAGTCCTTTATTTTACTTCTGTTTTGATATTCAAACAGAGCAAGTGGTGAAGATTATAATTACAGACAAAATAAAATTGAGATTTGATCAGCTGAAAAGTTTTACTTTTTTTAGTAGGTTTCTAGAAAAAAAAACAACTGAAAATGCAACTACAAATAATAACCATTTTAAACCTTTTCTCTAGGATAAATAACATCCATTTAATATAGCAATCATTTCTTTTTCATGTCTGCCAGAGTAAGTGTGGATGAAGAAAGATTCTGCATTGGAAGCAGACTCCACATGGAGTTCTCCAAGAACAAATCATGCACATTTCAGAATTAACTCCTGTGCTACAAACAGCTCTCTACCTATGGAAAAAGTGGATAAAGTAACATCTGCCAGGAGTGAACCCAGTGTATCAGGACGTGGGGACAGCGGGAAAGCGCAGGATGGGGCAGGGGGAAAGGGGAAACATAGTATTTTATCATTTCCAGTTGGTGAACTTCTATTTTGCAAAGTCTCTTTAGCAAAGATTCATCTGCTTTAAGAAAAAAACCCAAACAAAAGGGAAGAGAGCTGAATGTTTGGCTTTTCCCTGGGTTATTTAAAGGTACCGAGACTCAGCCCCATGCTGGTAAGAAGGGAATGGGTACTCACTTCTCCTCAACCATCTGCTTTTGATACTCCTCATACTCCTCCCTGGTCATCCCTGCAGCTGCCGCCGGATCAGAAGGGGTGCTTTCTTCTTTGCTTTCTTCCCCTCCACCTCCAAGGCCCAAATTCTTTACCTGGTTGCTCAACATACTTTTCATTAGAAAGGCCATCTTCGACAGGAAAAAAAAAACAGGAGCTCCAAAAAAACAACTACAAGAAGAGGAAACCAGAACAAAGCTGTTTTCAAAACCAACAATTGTAAGCGAGAGAGTTTCTACAGCCCCATCAGCCCTTCAAGGGCACAGTGCTAGTGAAACGTGAATGCCAAAACCAGTTTGTCAGCCATAATCTGGATTAAAGAGTGAACTCCTTAATATCTACAGGCAGATGGTTCAGATTACTCAAAAAAAAAAAAAAATCATTAGATGCAGCTACCTACTTTTTATATTAATGCCTTAAGCTAATTGTACACACATACACAAAAAAATCAATTATATTGTGCAATGGCATTTTGACTACTTCTGTCCTGAAACTCTCACTTTCAGAGAGATGAAAACATTCCCTGGAACGCAACGGATCTGATTTAAAAACCTGGTTGACTAGATGGCCATAGTAAAATTGTAAAATTTGGGCTACTGAGCAGAAAACCCTTCTGGATTTACCCAGTCAAATGAGATTTTAAAACTGGAATTCTTCATTAAGCAAAAAAACCAATCCTTTTTATCCATTAGCATTTTACCACCTTGGACAGAAAGTGTATTGAAGGACTTTTTTTCCATCCACTTTTATATGGCTGGTTTGTCTCACAGATGAATGGGGCATTGCTGCTGTCAGTACTTTTTCCTTTCAAAAAATAATCACAAAAAAAGCAAATCACATCTTCCTACTTTCCATTTCTTAGGGTTTATTTCAGCTCTTCCCCAGGCTGTGTCCATGTACAATCACCTCTTTGGCTGGTGCTGCATAAAACAACTGGCATTTTTAATCTTAACCATCAGTTAAAGATAAAATTAATGGAACTAATTCTGTGCTGTAACACAGCCCTCATCATTTGTTTGTGGATGGATTGTGTAGGTCCTCACCTTTCAAACTTTTATTCCCACCAGGTCTGTCCAGGCGAAGATTCGCAGGATCTGCTGCCTGGATCACAGACTGCTCTGGGAAAGAGAATCATCTGCTGGGGCTCAAAAGTTCATGAGTTTAGGTTTTGAGCATTTATCCTACTACGACCAACTGCGCATGCCTTAATGAAACGTTCTGCAATTTTGATTATCTAAATGGTTCTCCCAGCACTCTTGTAATTTCACTGAGATGGGAGGATTCCAGTTTCCCTAATGCCTTAATCTGCATTACAGCCTTTCTAATTAAAGCAGACCTGTTACTATTAAAAAAAGAAATCAAACAAACACCAAAAACCAAACGAAAAACAACCACAGGACTTCCTGTAATCCTGAACTATTAGTGATTAAACAAGAAACTTTAAATTTCTTTTTGAAATAGAGTATCACACAGAAGCATGAATTCCAAATCACAACAAAACTACTTTGCCGTACTACAGATACCCAGGAAGCATTTTCCTTAAGTCAAGATTGATTTTTGTAATCACTGTGCATTTCAGAACTATGCATAAATTGCAAGAATTTGTGGGAGAAGTCAACTTTTTACATCTGACCAACTCCGACCCTGATCCCCAAAACTCTACTGTACTTGCCCCGATGGCCAACAGAGCTGAGATCACAGACCTCAGAGAGCTAATCCCAATTTAAGCAGAGAATGCTAAACTTGAGCATGCATTAGTCTGAAGCTGAATGCACAAAATTAAATAAAATTTGTTATCTGGCAAAATTTAAAAAGCAAAAATGCAGTATTAAGTTTCTACATAAGGTATTTATATACCTTACATATATAAATATATATATATATATTCATAATAATTACTAAATCCTCAGACTGATGAGGAACCAACTGCTTACAGGGTACCTGAAGCATCAAGCTTTAAGCACCTACCTTGGGTGCGGACAAGGACCAGGACCTCCAGAGCAATTCCCGTTCCTGAGAGTTGCTTTAACTATTGCCTATGTCAAAGTTAAAAGCCACTTAGTGCTTTTTGTTGATTGCAGGGATCACAGGCTTAATGAAAACATACAGACAGCTCTGTACTCATGTTGCCACTTCCTTTGATGTAAATCAACATCCTTTCTCTCTCGCTTAAGTGAAATCAAAATTAAGGCTCAGTTCCTGTTCTGTCTGATGGAACTGGGCGATATCAAAACGCCTGTTCCATACCCAAAGAACGCACGTATCTGCACAACCCAGGGCAGAATCCAGGGTCTCAAAATGGGCAAATCACAAAGTCTAAGAGGCAAGCACAAAAATGCTACAGGCAGGCAAGTCCCCAAGCTCCAGCCTTTTCCAGGGACAGTACCCAAAGTAGCCAGAGCGACAACTCTGACCACATAACTCAGAAGTATCTCAGTGTTCTTTGAGAGTCCCAAGACTCTCCCCACTTTCATCCACCTTGGAGAAGATGTCACCTTTTGTACAAGTTGGAACATTAGGTCACTTGCACAGAAAGAGAGAAATGAGTATTTTGGGGCTTTCTCCACTGATTAGAGAAATTGCTCCTGGCTGGGGGAACATGATGGTCAATGAAGGAATTCTTACTCCTCCTGTGGGAGGTCACCGCAGACACACAGAGTTTACCGGATAGAACAGAAAAAAACCAAACAAAACCAAACCAAAAAACCCAAGGAAGGAGAGACAGACTAACTTGGTTTGGGTGGGCACATCATATTCCAACAGGAGCAAGCATCCAGGCGACAGCAGCTCAGGGAATCTGAAGGAAGAACTTTAGAGATACAGGCAATCTTCTGCTCAGGAAAATGAGGCACTCTGTACCTTCAAATCAGCCACAAACAACTCAATTTCCATTGGGAGCCTTGGAAGCCGACCCACTGCTTTAGGTTTGACCCCAGTGCCTGACACTCAAGCCAACCCTCCAGCACCAGGCAGGGCCGAACCCAGACCTCAAAGTGCCCAAACTCTCTGAAAACCAGAGGGTAAAGAACACTTCAAATACACTTACTTGGATTTCATGGACATGCACCAAATTAAAAGGAAAAAGCTTACTAAAAATATGCATCTTTATTCAAATAAGGTTATCTCTGAACTCCAAGTGTCAATTTACATTAGTCAGAAACAAACATATGAAAATGTCAGCTGTTTGAATTTAAAAAAACAGTAGACAGTCTCCGGTGTTACAGTAAGCGATGCATTCATAAATGTCAAATTCTCTTCAAGCAGGAAGTTTGGCAATTTACAAACCACATTGTGAATTTCACTTTTGGAAGATTCAGGAATGACCATGTATTTAATATACCCCGACCAGCACAGTGAGATTCTCTTGTCACTGCCAGATATTTGCTACTTATCACCTACACTTCAAATACAACTATTAGATCCCTATTATCAAACTGGATTCCAAGAAGCCTCCTCCTCCTGGTTGGCGATCTCACTTGATAAGAATCAAACACACTATCAACGTTGAAAGAAACTTCTAGTAGCCAGATGTAACCAGAGGCTACACTGAACGACAACTATTATTAAAGTCCAAATTTGTCACTATCACTTCAAGAACACACAGGGCAGAATTTGAGCTGGGCAGCTGGGAGCTTTCCCTTGAGGAGGCAACTATGGAAGTTCCAGGGAGAGACGACTGTGAAATGAAGCAAAGTTACTGCTTTTTGGATGGGAGGCTCTAGACCTTCCACCCCCCGATACACCAGTTACACCAGTTTCCCGGCTGTGGGTGGAAGATGGGTCAGGTCTATCATCAGCACCAACACAAGCTGAGCCTCACGCTGCAGATACAGGTGTGGTCCAAGTTCTCCCCTAGACACTATCCTCAGCCTCTTCTTTCTAACTAATCACACCAGTGTGGGCCGCTCCAGCTTTAAAGCAAAGCTAGGGTTGGATAAACTCACAGTAACAAAAAATACAGGCTTCCTCCAACTGCCCCAACTCGAGCTGTCCCTCACAACGCCGGGTATTTGCCCCTACACATCAAAGCACAACTTTCTGGGCGAAGGCTCTCGGGGAGCCCCTGCGGGAGAGGGAGCTCTGTCAGGTGTTGCACCGACACAGCAAGGCTTCAGTTGGAAGGAACAACACTGCACGTTTTAGAACAATTTAAGAAAATATACTAAGTTTAGTTAGAAGAGTCAGGGTTGTAACAGCTTAGACTAAAGGCACCTGTAAATATTTGCTGGTGTTGAAAGAACTGAATGGATAAATTCCTCTGGGTTATGCTGGCTCATCCAAATTTTTTTTTTTTATTGATTTGCCCTATTTATCCAGCAAGAACAGCTTGAGGCAGGAGTTTCTCCAATCAATACAGCAAAATCTCAAATTTAGAAATGAATCTATAAAGCTATACTGTTTGTAGTATGCAGGTGTGCAGGTAGTACCGTTTTAGCAGTATAGAACAGACACCCACTTTTTGGACACTATATTTGAAGTAACAAAATATATTGCATAGATTTATCATTTCTCTAGAATGACAGGCACGACACTGAAGTGCTCTTCATTACAGCGAATTTGGCAGCATCTGTTGCACTCCAAGGGAGTTGACTGTAGGAATGCAGTATTTGTATGTTTGATTCCAAATAATTTTTGCAGATTCAGACAAACAGATTAATAATTAAAAGTGAAATATCCTGATGCATTTGTGTATTTTATAGAATTTCTAAAAAAACCACCCCCCCCCCATTCTAATTCTACACACAGACAACTCAAGGACAAAGTTACCACAGATATGTAAACAAGGCAAAATTAATTCATTTCACATTCCTAATTTGGGCTATCTGCTTTGTTTCTTTCCTGAAGCAAACGTTCACCTGATAAGCAGTAACAAAAACACATTCTGTCTCATGTTTTTGATATTAAAGCAGGAATTGACACACAAAACTGGTTCTACAATAGCTGCTGGATTAACAAACATGTCTGAAGCATCAGCTTGTGAAGAAATGAGTTAAAACTCAGTATGTGTAGTTTAGAATACTTGCCATGTCAAGATTTAAATCAAAGCATCTGTATTTGACACATGAAAGACACAAGACAGCTTTATAAAAGTAAAGACATATTCATACACTAAACACATGCTTAATAAAATCAGATTTGAAGAAGTATAAAGCAACGATACCTTTGCTGAGAAAGTTCCACAAATCTCCAAACAAAATTACAGACAGACTTGAAACTACAAAAAAGAAATCAGTCCCACAATCTACTCAAAGAAACTACTTTATCATGTTTTCTCTCATTGTCTAAAACCAAAATGCAAAGTAAGGAGATGAGCTTTTATTTCCTTATTCTGTATAGTTTGTTTTCTATCTCAGGTATCAACAGCCAGATTGTTAAAGGCCTGTCTTTGTGTCCACATATTAAAAAGCATTTAAATCTGTATTTCATGAAGAATTAAAATTAACTAAATAATTCTTAAACCGTTAAATCCAAGTGGTAAAGAAATGAAATGTTTATAACAAATTTTTACTCCCCTCCGTACACCCCCCCAGCCCAAAAAAAAAAAAAAAGAGAAGAGCAGTTGTCTGGAGTTTTTTTGTTTGTTTGCTTTTGTTTTGTTTTGTTTTTTTTTAAACTGGTATGTCAGAATGCTTAATGGGAAGCTTCCTGCACAAAGCATCCATCTGCAATCCTCACTATGAACAGCAACCAAAATTGGGTGTTTCAATTCCCTCCTCTGGAATCTTAACAAGAGAAGAGGAAAATGGCATTTGCCATCCTGGATTTATGAGACAGTTTGCTGAAAACACAGACCTGGAGAGGGTCTGCCCCCATCCAGCATTTCCTCCATTGCTCCTCAGTCTGTTTTTAACTTTAGCATTAACAGTTTAAAGAGAACTCATTTTGTTTAACAAAATTCAATAATTTACAATATTGAAGTATATCAAACACTAAAATCTCCCTCATTTACAGAAGTGTATAATTTTCTGTGCATACATACTGCTGTTATGTACACACAAAAGGAACAGGTCATCAAAAGAACTTTTTGGCTGCTGCTTCTTGTTGACTCCTGAAAGAAAAAGCAGAAGAGAATTCATAAAGTACTTGCAGTATAAAACTAGCTAACTGGTCTAAATAAATAAATACTTCACTTATTCGGGGATTAAAATATTCCATTCCTTGTCAACAGAGACTTAGGAAAATCTAATATAAGTCATATCACAAAAATAGGATATAATTTTTTCTGTTTACAAAGACATCTGTAGCATCACTATAGTTCCAGTTTTGCATCAGACACAGAACAAAACAAAATATTCTGGACAGAAGCCAGAAGCTGTGAAAGAACATAGGAACTGATTTTTAAAATACTTTAACTAAAATTTTCCACAGCTTCTCAGTATCTGATTGGCCTAAAGATTATCATAAAAAAGGAAACAAATGCAAGGAAGCAGTGAAAGAATTGACTCGAAATGGGATTTTCTTTTGGCTCTGGCACAGGGCATGTTTATTTTCTCAGTGGCTACAGACACTGTGCAGCAGCCAAACTCAGACACTAAAATTCGAAGGGTATCAAAAAACTGGAGGGGACCGGCTGCTCCTGTATCTTGGAAGCCACCTTTCCAGCTGATGGTGTCATGACACACATCAGAAATGTGCTTTGTAGAGAAGCGGACACGCAATAAACGTTATGAGTGCATAAGTCTTATATTAATAATAGCTATCCCTCCACAGATGGAGCAAACAGCATTTTCTCTTCGAAGGGCAAGACAGCTATTTTGGTCCCTACTCCTTATCTCAATTACTGTGTGCCAGAAGCAGGAGGGAAGACTGTCGAGCAAGTCAGTCCTTGCTCTCAATAGCTTTTCCTTTCCATCAATACAAATTTAATTTGAACATTATGACATTACAATGAGGAAATAGAGAACAGAGAAAACATCCCAATTAGTCCACACACTGGACTGGAGATGAAGGGATATGTAACATAAAAACATTCACTGAGGAATTTGTGAAATGGAATAAGAAGCCTGTAAGTTCACACAGCAAAAAAAAATAATTAAAAAATATTCAAATCACATCAGATTTTGTCACGGTACTAATAAACTTCAGTAAGTCTAGCAGAGAACCACAAGGAGAGGGAGGGAATGGGACTCGTTCGTCCTGGACAAAAGAAGGTTTCAAGGGGTCTAACAGCAGCTTCCAAATCCCCACAAGATGTTGTTGAGGGGATGGGGACAGTTTCTTTACAGAAATGCACATTAAAAGAATGACACAACAGTCAAATTGAAACAGGGCAGGTTCCCACCAGACACACCATTGGGGTGAGGGAAGAGTAAAACAAACTTCATTATGATAAATATTTCCAATGGGGTCCATAACAGTGGTAAATTTTCCATTCTTGGAGGTTTTTAAGATCTGATCAGTTTGAACACTAAGCAACCAGGTCTGAATTCAGTGTTGACCCTGCTCTGAGCAGAAGGTTGAACTAGAGACCTCCCCAGGTCCCTTCCAATCCAAATGATTGCTTGTTTTAAAGAAGATTAACGTAATCATACCATCGCAATTGCATTTTCAGTCAGAAGTTCTAAAATCATTCGCCCTGCTGTCTTTAAAGAAAAACATACTTACCTATACATGATATAACCAATGAATAACACTGTTTGCACCGCTACAAACATGAAGAAGTGCACTGTAGATAAGCAGGATGGAAATGGTGGCAAATCTGGACACTTTGTTTTCTCACCAGATGGCTAAAACCCAAGAAAAACAGTATTTGAGAAAAAAACAAACACAACATGCCATTGAAAGAATACTACATGTAACAAACATGTAACATGATCTGTAAGTCAGAACACAAGCAGAAAATGACAGAAGTGACACTACTCTGAGAAAACATAATCGTATCGTCTCCCTTCTCCATTTCACATTTATATTTCTCAGACAAACTGTTGCTAATTTGAGCATTACAGGGGAAAGAATAAATCTTTGGTAAATTCACCCAGCAATCAAGAACCTTCTATGGGATCATAAGTTAATTCAGCTTAATTGCTACCAAGGCTAGACTAAGGTGCTCCTGAACGTGAACACAGTCATCTCTCACACTTGGAGACAGTAAGTGGAGCCTGCCCGAGTTTCCCCTGATTAAAGCTCTCCCTTCTGTGCAGAGGCAGTAGAGAATCTCCTCTCTATTGAGCTGTTAAGTAGGGGGACAAACACAAAAAAAAGCACCCAGAAAACCTAATTGCTTGACCTTGTTTCCACAGGAAATTAGACTAAAAATCATGCTCTTTGTGCAAAACTTCTCATCAAGACACAGATCATGCAGTTAGGTCAAGGCAGTGCAGTTTTAGCGAAGCAGCTTAATGAAGGATTAATTGCTCTGTAAATTGCATGCTGGCTCATCCTAGCTTTTCACTAACAGCCAAATAAAGAAGTATTGCAGTCATGCTTTACACTACCAGTACATAAATTACCATATTTCGTTGTACTAAATGCTCAATGTCCCTCTTTACTACATGAAGGTGCTCTTTGATGTCATTGAAGTGCTGGGTTGTTTCATAGACTCCCGCAGCAGAGCCAGGATGTTGAGCTCCAGTGATCAACCTCAGAGCATCGGACATGGAATTTCTGAAACAAGACAAACAACAAAACATCTTTCAGCACAGAACAGCTTTGCAAAAACAGCAGTTATTGTGGACACCTTTTAGTCCATTAAAATTAATTTGAAATACACAGTTGCCCCAAGAGACAGAAAACAGTTTTTTTTCTAGCTTCCAAGAATAACCTATCAAGAAATAATTCCTTAATCAAAGTATGATTTTTTAAAATACTTAATTCCACAGGCAGTTTCAATTTGTACAGTACACCATCTACCAAAGCCATGCTGAAAACAAGATCTGGCAAATATTCTGTTGCTAGACATCTGCTTTGACTGACTGATGAAGCCTAAAACAAGTGTTTTATCTGAGGCTCTTGCCAAGGCTTTAGGATAAGCAGAGTTTAATGCAATCTTTGAAGAAAACCAAAAGCTGTTTGAAAAATAAATAAATAAAAGCAGTCATGTAAGAAATAAAAATAAGAAGAGGCTTTAGGGATAAGAAAAGATTTAGATACATCCTTGTTTTATGATTATCATTTATACGAGAAACTCATTTCCCATATGCATTGTCATAATACTTAATATTGTCTTCACGTGAATTCATTTTGCTTCTACAACAAATCAAATAAATCCGTAAAAAGTTGAAATTCCATAACTAATTTTGTTTGAGATAAACTAGTCAATGAGAGAAAAATACTTAATCTCTAATCAATATGTTTATATAATTTTCCCCTACTCTGATGTTTCTTTTCAGTTGCAAAGAGGATTATTCTACAGCTAAAATATTTATCATGTGAATGTTAATCTCTTCATTATTAACAGAATAAACAATCAAAATATATGTCTTCGGATTTCTTTTTAATTTACTTAAAACTTTACATTTTGTTCAGATGAGAGCTTACTTCGATGCATTCAAGGTAAAGTCCTAACTCTTTGTACAGTGGCCAGCAATTTATCACAGAAGGGTTTGGGTTGGGAAAGGTATTTCAAAGATCTTCTGGTCCAACCCCCTGCTTGCCAGGGTCACCTTCCACTGGATCTGAGTGCTCAAAGCCAGGTTCAGCCTGGCCTTGAACACTTTCATTTGTAACTTTCATATTAAAAAAATCCACCAACCAACCAACACCTGGCTTGAATACTGCTCATTGAGTAAACTGGCAACAACATAGAATCATATTTACAAGTGTTATACAAAATTATAGTCCTGATTTTTAAATAGCTCGTATTCATTGTGAAAACAGCAAGTTAAGCATCAAAACTTAAATGTTTACAAATAATCTTCATAAAGAAGTTGCCCATCTTTTAGCTTTCCATCAGTTGTTCTTCATGCCATTAAAATTCAAAAAACTACAGAACTAAAATTAAAATAAAATACATTTTAAAAGCCAGGAGAAAAGAGAAAACTAGTAAGGTAGGCATTCACCTCAATTCACCTTCTAATATTGCAAAGTTATAAAAAGGAGTTACCAAAAACCAGCTGTTTGCTTCTGTAACCTGCTGCAAACTGAACTCATCAAAGCAGCTCTTACCTTCTCTTATTCTACCTTTCCGGTCTGGAACTTAAACATACAAAATGAATGCAAAAACCCCTCATCTGTCCTGACTTACATTAGCATATACGTCATCGAGAAATTATTGCATATTTTTGTATTGTTATTGTATAGGTTAAATTGTTTAATATAATATTTAAATGTATTTTGAATTAATGTTATAATAACCTATTTTAGAAGTACATTTTCACTGGAAGATTGTTATTCTTAAATAAATTTTAAGAAAATTTAATGCAAACCATCACCATCACAACCACTGCCTACCAAATGCTGCCAGTAATTCTGTCTGTCCACATCCATACATTGCTCATCTTGCCCCACGATTTTCAGTGCGAGAACACATGAGTCCTTTTGTTCCTCTCCCTCCTAATACCACCATTCCTGTGTAATTAACAGAAATCTGCACACCCACCTCCCCCCAGGCTGACCCTAGGTTCATTAAAATAACTTCCCTAAGTAGACATGGTCTGTATCAAATTTAATTTACATTTACTTCTGCAGGAACAATACCACGCTGATAGTTTCTATTGTAGGAACATGCAAGATTCTCCTGTAATCAGATGATTAAGAAATCCACAAATCTTGACAAGAAAATTACTTAGACAGTAAGTCCTTTTCCTCCGGGATGACCAGCAACGCAACAGAGGGCTGTTCATTTCTATCTATAAATAAAACATTTATTTAATCTAAGAAAAATATTAAGATGATGTTACGCAAACTCATACCTAATAAGTAGTCACAAAAAGGGCAGACCGCCAACGTTAACAAGAAAATCTAATTTACTTACAAGGTATAAAGATTTGTCAAGAATATTACCATAAAGCTTTCGTGGAAGAACAAGTGCAAAAATGGAAGCACTGTAATCTTCGTTCTACAAAAACTGACCTACTTAGATAAATCACAAGAGCTGCCCTTGGACTAATACAGGAAAAAACCTCAACTGCTTATACACTACAACATCAAGTTGTAGGAATTGTTTTTCTCCTTTTTTTAAGCCCAAGGTAAGGATTTTTTTAACTACTAGAAACGAAGGCTTAAACCAATTTGAAGACATTCCTGCTAAAGACAGCATCTGTAAAACAATGTACACAGACATCCATATTGAACATGGGAATTTTCTCAAATCGCTTTCAGCAGTATAGCACCTTCAAGATAAGATTTTTTTTTAATTCATTTGGTAACACATTTTGAAAATGTAAACCATACCTCTCAATCGATTTTAAAAACTGCATCTTAAAAAGCAAAGCTATTTATCCCTTGGGAACTTGCAAGTGTCCCTGCAGATATGGAAGTTACCTGAGAAAGTTAACTGGTGGAAAGCCCCCTGACAAAAACCCAAATCAAACAACCAAACAATACCCCCCCCCGGGGGGGGGGGTGTCTTAATGTCGTACAGTTACATTCCAATAAACTACCCAAGATTGTCCAACAAATTACTTCATCCAGGAAAGAAAACAAGTCTGTAACTGTCAAAGTGTCCTTTTCCAACACTCCAAAATCAGAGCAACGATTTCCATGAGGCAGCAGGTTATCACATTAGCAGATATTGCCCATTTTCAGAGGATTCGACTTACCTGTTGAAGTGGAATCTCATTACAAAAAAAGAAGCAAATTAGGGGGCTCAGCCACCCTAGGGACATGAAATTACATTATTATAGAAATCAAATGTATGCAGAGAGTCATCACCAAGGAATTGACACAGAGAAATTTCAAGTTTGTTAATATTCTCTTACTGAAATAATATATAGGATTTAAAAGGTGGAAACAATATAAAATTCAAAACACAGACTTAATATTTAGAAAGCATTTACCTTATTTCATTTACTTGTCTAATGACCTCTTCTTGATTTTTCACAATTGTTTCGATCTCTTGCTGGGAAGCCTGGCAGGGAGGGGGCGGGCAGACAAAAAGATCAACATATCTTGGAAAAAGCACATGGATCACGCTGCTGAAATTAGGCTGAGCTATCAATCATGGGGGTTGGGGTGGTTTTTTTTTTAAATGTACCTGTCCTTGTTGACCAGGAACAGCAGTGCCTCTTTTAGCAATTTCATCTGTGACTGCAGAGACGTACCGTCGCTGCTCATCCAGAATCATGTCCAACTGCCTATTAAGCTGTTTGATTTCAAGATGAATTCGATTCTGCCCCTCAAAGATTTGCCTCAGTTCACGATCACTTACAGTTTCAAAAAGATCATCCGCTGATAAGAAAAAAGGACATGGAGTTCTTACACATATGCATTCCTCCTAAGTTGCATTGTATCATTTTTCTTGTACCCTTAAAGTTTCTACATGGATATATTTTTTTCCTATAATTAGATATATTCGGTGTTTATTTATCAATCACCACTTCCATGGCAAAGGATACCCAGATGGGATCAGAACAACTGAACAGAGGTAACCACTCATTCAAACCCAGATTCCATCCTAGAGTTCCCATTTCAGCACTTGGGTAACGCGCAATGTAAAACGGAAAAAGGATGTTGCTATTATGAGTGAGCTCCTCCACAGCTTCAACAACATCAGGAAGTGCCAAAGATTCTGTGGCAAAACGATGATTATTTCTTATCAGTGGAAGGCTGATAAGAAATATTTCGAAATATTTCAAAAATACAGATGAAGTTAATATGGTGCAGGACCTTTACAGCAGTTGTAACATCACTGCCCCCTAAAAAAAGAGAACCTTAAATTTCAGGTTTAGATGCCCAAAGTACATTCTCATCATTCCCATCACATTTCTCTTAATTTGTTTTGTTCTCAATTCAGGCATGACAAAAGGGACTTTATATTTTAGAAAACACTTTATAAACAAAAGACCAAAGATTCTTAGTAAAGTAAATAACATCAGTAAGAACTTCATAGGATCAATCAGATTATCATGCCCTAGTTCTGAATATCCCAGAAAGCAAACATTTCCCTTGACAACTAAAAAATTGCTCAAATAACTTGCCTGGCTGTCCTTGCACATCAGGATGTTCCTTCTGAAATTCTTCTTTCTTTTTATCCAGTTCTTGTTGAAAGTGTTCAAACTCTTCTTGATACTTCTCTTTATCTTTTTGAGGAATTTCTGCATCTGGAGTTGGCTTTAAAACATTATCAGAGAGGGAGAAGGGGGAAGGAGAGAGACTTTTTCATGTTCTCCACCACTCTTATATAACTTACTCTCCAGCAAGGCTGTTCACACTTCAGATTTGAAGACACAACACAGTTAGTGGAACACACTAATACATTAAGCAGAAGGGAGAAACCAGGCATCCCTATGGAGACCCATAGCTTTTTCCTGATAAATGCACGCTTTCTGCAATTAAAATAACTCAAGTTTTACAAGGATAGATGCTGTTTAACAGTACAGAAGTGTTCCAGAGGTATGGGAAGTTGAAAGCAAGAATAGATTATTTCTCCACTTCCCAAACAAAGTGGACTTTTTGGGTTGTTTTTTCTGCACGTTTTGATTTAACATCAGGATTCTTGATGCAGTGTTGCTTCAAGAATTCTGGTGTTGAAAACATTAATTAAGATAGTACCAAAACGTTACAGTTATTACTCTCGGTTTTCTAAACCAGATGACAGTACAGCTACGTGCCAAAATCCTGAAATGGGGATGCCAAGTGTAACTTCAGAGGAAATGCCATAATCTGGTGCTACATGTAAAACATACAATAGCATATTTTGCTAATCATGCATAAAGATGCTTACTACTTCCTTCCCAGGCTCAGTCAACTGGAAGGTCAGAAAAGACAGGACATCGTGATCATCTGTGTTCAACAAACAAAACAAAAAATCACTGTTACTTCCCAAGTCAACCTTGTGCATGCAAAGGATCTTCAGGCACCAGAATCCTCCCAAACCTCTCCCAAGAGTTCATGCAGTGGGGAACGAGACAGTACAACGTCTTTGTAATGACAAAAGGAAAGTCCTTCTGCTCTAGCAGGAAAAGGCCTAAGCATATCAGTAATTTGGAAACGGGAGAGGATCGATTCCATCATTATGGCCAAAAATTGGTATATTGGATCAACATTAGCAGTAAGAATTTCTTCCCTGCAAACCCTGCGAGCCTCCACACCACTTGTCACAATTTTTAACATTTGCTACCTGCAAGTCCCCCTGTCGCTGCAGATATTCCAAAATATCCTTGTGATGGCAACACCATATTTTCCACTTTTGCACAAAATTCATAGTCTTCCTTATCCGGAGTGAAGCCATTGTTAATTAACACCTAAAAGGACAAACACAACTTTTACCACATAAATCTATTTGTGTTAATTGCTTTGTCAGTTTACAGTAATGGTCACAAATACACTGATACTAGAAACCAGAAAAAGTGTCTTTTCTGAAAGATGATTTCTCATCACAAGTACTGAGTGAGCCAAGTAGGAAAGATACCCTCCCAGACTTGTTTGTGAACAGAGAAGGATTCATGGGAGGTGTGATGGCAGGCGGATCTCTTCCACATAGATTTATTCTATGCTGTTCTTAAACTGATCGTGGCCTAATAGTTTCAACCCTAGTTCAAGAAATCCCCATCACGGGGATCATTAAAGGCCAGTCTATCAAAAGTAGACATGCCAGTAAGGTTCTGGGCAACACAAATTTTTGGTCTGATCTAGAAGAGTCGTTGACTCTAAGCTTAGAGAGATTCTCTTCCTCCATGGATGTGTTTGCAGAACTGCTAAGGTCAGCAGCAACATTTGGACCACAGGGATTCCTAGATAAGGCATCAGGGACCAGGGGCATTCACAAAGAGAGCAACCTTGGAGTCTGAAATTTAATTTTCATTCAAGAGTAACAGATAGCTTTTGCCATTACAACACAGTACAAGGTCCACCCTCTTTTAGGCACATTCATGTTTACTTTTAGAGAAACTTTTACTACAAAATGACAGTTACGTTCTATGGCTAATACCTAGGAACAGCACCTCTTCAGAAGAGATCAGATCAGAAGCCATGAAACACACACTTCGTAGCTGTCACAACCCAGCACCACATTTTTCTCTGCTTATCTAGAAGGAATTCACAATCATCTGAACAGAATTTAAGAAGTCTTATACCCTTGTAAGTGGTTTTCCTTATATACTTTAAACCAGTGGTTTTCCATCTTCTTTAACCTTCAAAGCACTACTATTTCTTGGAGGTGTGAAGCCTCAAGTGGCAAATTTAAATCTACTGTCAAAGAAAAGAGCTTCAGTTTTACAGTCAAGTTTCAAGAACCTCTTACAATCAGCCACAAACCCTCTGCAGCTCTCAGAAATACCACTCAAGTGAAGGAGCTGCTCAAACACTTGGAAGCTTAGGAACTTATTCTGGCTTTGGGACACTGCTACAGGCAAGTCAACAGCAACAGAAGGGTGTGAGCACAAAGAAGCACATTAGTGTGACTCGCTCCTAAGTAACATCAGAAAACATCAGCTCAGGAAAACTATAGAGGCACTAATGTAGTTAAAAGAACTTGTCTTGCATTTGAATATACCGCACCTCCTTCTAGCTTCTGATACTAAGCTCAACGTTCTCAAGAATACTGGCATTAACATAGGGGTCTTGGGATTTTCAAATAGTTGCAACAATCTCACACTTAAAAAGTTGAGAAACATGAGTTATTATGCTATTTCAGAGTACTTACAGTCAATGTTTTTTGGTAGTATGTTATCTTTACTCGAACGGGATAGGGCTTGTTACGGAAGTCCCTCTGACAGGAAGCCAATGCTTGCGTGGAACCATCACTATGCAAGAAGACAACTTGCATAAAACTATATCTTATGATTTATCAGCTGAGACAAAAAAGCATCAATGTATCACTAAGCAACATCATGATAGCTTTTCAATATGCAAGTCTTTCAAAAGCTGCCATACAAATGCACTGAGCTTTTCTGAAGGAGGGGATCAAAAGTACTAGATCTTTACAGAACGCAGTAATGGGAAAATCTGGGGAAATCTGCTTCTAAACAAAACTCCTGCACCTGTCATCTGAGATGGACATCAGCTATAGTCTGGATTGCACCAACTAAGCTAGACACCCCTCTTCTCAGAGAATTCAAAAAGATGTCAATTATGCTGTTGACAATAAATGATCAGAAATAAAAATTAAACCAATTAATTTAAGTAACAGGCAATTAGCTTTCAGTTAGTCACTTGTGTCCGTTATTAGCTGTGTGGGGAAAATACACATAAGCAACAAAGAGGGAAAAAGCCTGTACCTCCATTTATCTGAGTTCACTCATCCCAAAGGACATACGCCATTTAAATAGTTGCCAATTTCTGTGCTGTTACTGCCAAAACAGTGTTTTAACAAATAGAAAAACTCAAATGTAAAGGAAACAACAAAGTTTCATACGAAAGAGACCTTCATAATGTTTCTCAAAGTTTCACGCAGCATTTCATCACTCAAAAGCAAACATTCATCGTTAAGACTAAAAATAAACTTACTTCTGGTGGTCATACAGAAGTTTTCCATTGTTGCCTACAACAATCACTCCAGGATTATTTTTCTAGAAAAAGAAATACCAAACAAATGGAATAGTTTAATTCAAATTGAAACATAAGGAACATCACCAACAGCCCTTCTGAAATAAAGCACCTAACATCAGATATATCACAGATGTGTAATGTTTATTCTTTTTGCAGTTCAGGACTATACTGTGCCATGCTGCCTTCTTTGCAAGAGACTGCTACATTCTTTGCATACTAGGGGTGAAAAAAACCCACCCAAAGTTAAGTTTCTGGATATAGTACCAATTACCATCATTTGACAAATACAGTAATATAAAAGCCACAGACAGGAGAAATTCATATATAGTGAAGATCCAGATCTTAAAACTAATAGATGACTTGATACATCCAACTTTGGCTACCCAACACTAGAAAAAACATGCAAACACACGCTATGTTGACATCCTACGGACCTAGTCACAGTCATTAGAAAAGCCTTAGGAGCTATCTGTCAGAAACTAAATAAAGTCTATTGACGATATGGTCAGTTATTTAAATTGCAAGCGGGTGAGAACAAGCTAAAACGATAATGGCACAACAGATTTACAGTGCTATTATGGTTGCCTCCATGAGTTTATGAAGTAAACTCCAGTTTTTTACAACAGCACAAGATTTCAGAGTTAATCTCCCTTCCCCCTTCAACATTTGAATTCATCATCTCCTAAAGTGTACTGGCTTGGGCTAGGATAGAGTTAAATTTCTTCATAGTAGATTTTAAGGGGCTATGTTTTGGATTTATGATGAAAACAGTGTTGATAACACAGCAAAGCTTTAGTTACTGTTTATGCAACCTCAAGGCCTTTTCTGTTTCTCACAGTCCCCACCAGTAAGTAGTCTTGGGGGAGCACAAGAAGTTGTGAGGGGACACAGCCGGGACAGGACCCCAACCCACCAAGGGATGTCCCAGACTAGAACGCTCAGCAATAAAAGCTGGGGAAGGAGGAGGAAGGAGGGACATGCAGAGTTATGGCATTTGTCTTCCCAGGTCATTGTTATGCCTGGGAAGATGGCTGAACACCTGCCTGACAATGGGAAGCAGTCAATTAATTCCTCGTTTTGCTTTGCTTGAGCACACAAGACAGCTACTAACAAAAGTATTCAAATATAATGGTCGATGGACAGTCCAATTTCTGCTGCGGATCATGTCTGGGTGCAAGCACGTGCAAGAACTTGAAAGACAGTAGAGAATCCAAAGTGGGGAATAACTTCTCAATTTTTTGCCTCCTAAGGTCACAGGAAAGATGCGCTGCAAACTCTTGGACATTTAGTGTGGTTCTTACAAATCCAGCTATTCAGAGCTATGAAATTCTGTCTCTCTTCTTAAAAAGCTCTTATCACTACTTCTACAGAGAAATAAAAATTCACCTCTGGTATAACCTGCAGCCTTAGAAGGAAGAGAAAAAAAGGCTTTGCAGTTTTTAAATCAGCATCATAAGCAGGGTGTTTTGAGCTGGCAGCACTTGATGAAGTCTACTTCTGGATGCCAGTATACCAGGCTGAGGACCAGTTGCAGCACCAAACACCTTCCAGTGAACACACTGGAACAGCAACAAGAAGAATTTCTCCATACTGGGACTGAAGAAAGTAACAGGTTGTCATTAAAAAAAGTCTTAGGAACTCCAGCATTTAAGACATGTCAGACCAACGCAGGCATGACAAAGACTTTCGTTTTGACTGGAACTGCCACATCATCACTTTCTAAAAAGAGGGTGTCGCACCACACTGACTGCACTTGTGGTGAGCAGAGTCCCAGGACTATCAAAGTTCTAGGAAACAGCATTGTCCACACACAATTTTTGTTAGATGGCATCTTCAGCCAGGTAAACGACACCAGTGCCCATATTCATGCCAGAAGTCAGGGAAAAGGGCAAAAAAAAGGATTTTAAAATTCTTAATAAGTCAAACAATACTCTAATTCTATGTCTTGTCTTTGAAGATCAGAAACATAAATATCGCCTTCAGTCTTTCAACATTTATATATGTTGAAGTCTGCTGTATATCAAAAACCTTCTCTAGGAAAAAAGCTTGGCTTGTACACCTACAAAAATGTCTCTAAAAAGTCTAAAAGCAAGCCAAAGTAGTGCAGGAAACAAACAAACAAAAAAAAAAAGCAAAGCAGACCTACTATGTTTTGTTAAAGTTTTTCAGGCTCCTTCTGGACCAGAAAACTGGAGATTCAAAACAGCAACTGTCACCCCCATCTGCTACAGATTTTTTTGCTCTCAAACTATTCAGGGCAGATTTCTTCCAAGAAAAAGAGCATCTCTGCAGACAGGCATAGAAATCTGTCATATTTTGGTACAATGTGCCTCTTCCAAAGCACACAACTTCAGATATATCAACATATCAAATCGTGCATAGGCATTCAAAATTTCAGCTTGTACATAGGTACATGGTATTCTCCCTCCAAACCTAACACATGAACCAATGTTCAGTGGAGATTCATTGTGTCATGCTTCAACATTCAAGCTTAAAAAAATAAGTGTGAAAGAGTCTATAAAAATACTAGAAGGGCAACTTGACTGTTTTAATTTATCCCTTTGAAGTGAAGGGGGAGAGAGTAGGAAAATAACATACTATTTTTTTGCACAAAGTTATATGTACAAAACAAGCAGGAAATTAATTTACAATCTTTGCTAGAAGAGTTTGCTTCCCACTAACCTTTCCATCATTGTCAAAGGAATCAAAGAAAACTCCAACACCATTCCACTTATCAGCTGCCCCGAAAACAGGACCTTCCAAGCCTTGCTCTTCTGTAAACCAGATTGCCTGTCACAGAAAGCAAGTAAGAGTCGTAAGTCAAGATTTGCTTTTTAAAGCACACCTGTTTTTTTTCAGTGAGATCAAATTCTTAATACCAATCCATCAGCTCCAATGCGGCCTCTTCCTGTAACTCGAAAGGTCACTTCAACTTCCCAATATTCAAATATTGATTTGGTTTTTGTCCACACTGATCCTCTTTGGCTTTTCAGAGATGTTGTTATACGAATCTGATCCGCGCTTGGTATGGCATCTAGAAAGGAAAGGAACCAACACTGAATATATGAAAAAGGAAGTATTGCAAGTACCTAACTAGTCAATTAACAAATCTTCTTAACTCACAGAATTTTCTGGTGTCCTCAACTAGTTACCAGCTTTCAAAATAATTTTTTAATGGAGTATTCAGCCACTTGAGAGGGGAAAAAACCCAAACCAACCTCCACATATTTACTTTCAACAACTTGATTACTACAGCTTTACAGAAGACTTAATCAACTTCCATTTGGGACCGCAACGTACAACTTAGAACACCGGTGTTGCTCTTAAGATATGAATTAAATTAACTAGGAAAAGAAAAAATGAGGTTTAGCTTTCTGCTGTATACCACATGACTTGTCACAAATCACAGATTTCTGTCCCACTTTTTAAAAACATACATTCTAATTTTCGGTTTAATAGCATTAAAGAATAGTGGGCATACATTTACAGAGATTAATTCACTTGTGTTAAATAACATTTATTTTTATGACTATCTGCTTAAAAAGAAAGCAGGAAAAAAGCTTATCTATAGAGTTTCCTTCCTGTCACTTGTAGCACAATGTCAAGTAAGAGTCAAAAACTAACACTCGTGAACTAACCAATATAACCAATTTAGTTTATATCTGCCAAAAAATAAAAACCCAGCAGAAGTTACTGCAGAGAGACCGCACTAAGGTAGGACCCTATGTACAGTACATATCAATACCTTTCACACGGGGGTCTTACGGAAGGCAAGATGCCTCAAAGCCTTAACCCATACTGCAGAGAGTGCATAAACTACGACCAATAAAGTCGTAGTTGCCAAGGAACAACTTCCATTTCCAGCTTTTACACTAGGAAACTCAACAGGCTTTCCAGCCACGCAGGAGCACCAGCGTTCCGCTGGCCTCAGGCCGGGCACGGGGGGGGGGAGGCTGGGCTCCTCCTGGCCCAGTGACACATCATCACTCCCGGCAGCGGGTCACGCCGACCGGGGGTCACGCCGTCTCCCCGGAGCTGCGGGGGCCCGGCGAGGTGTGGGACGCGGCCGCCGCTCCGGCCTAAGAGCACCCAGCCTGCCCCCGCCCGCCGCGGCTCCGCTCCCCCCGGGCGGCCGCAGCCCGCGGCAGCCCCCGCCGCCTCCACCCGCCGCCCCGGCGGTCCCCTAGTCCAGCCGAGGGTGATCAGTCCCGGCCATCTTCGCCCGGCCGCGGCGGCTCCTTCCCGCGCCTTTCCCTCAGGTACCGAGGGCCGCGGCCCCGCCGCCCCCCGCCC